TAGTTACTTAGGAATTTTTAGAGATTCAACTGAAACGAAATTACGTCCTAGATTATACACTATATTATATTAATTTGATTTATTTTGAAGTAAACTTAAGGTGATTAATGGCTCTTTTATCATTGTTAACCCAACTAGCCAGAGGACTAGATCACTAGTTAGATCGACCACTTAAGTTAGGTTTTTATGCTGCGGTGCGGTCAATACTTTCTCATTCCATTTATATATGATAATCAACCTCATTATCATTCTTAACGATCTCACTACCATTCTTACGCAATTAGTATAAGATAATTAATACGCAATTATCGATCAGAAGATTAACATGTTAGTTAATGCATAAATAGTGAGGAAGGAAAACCTCCCAGTTATTATTATCATATCTTTCATTTTTGATTGCTAAAAGCAATCTCTCATAGATATTACACAAACACTACTAAAATACTTTACCAAGATAACACACTCATTAAACTTTGACGTGACCCGTGAAACTCCATTCCCAAGGAGAGCATGAAGCCCAAGCAGATGCACCTAATGGTCTCAACATAAACGTAAAAACACATACTTTAATAGTAACACAGTTCTATGTCTTAGTAATGGGTTTCAGTATCTAGTTGCGCATCCACAGCTTCACCATAATAACAGCATCTTCTACAGATTCCTCCGTACCATCCGCCACAGCATCCATATCGGCAATATCCTCCCCCATAGCCACCACCATAGCCGCCACGTCCAGGGTAACCACCTCCGTAGCCGCCACGTCCAGGGTAACCACCTCCGTAGCCGCCACGGCCAGGATAGCCACCACCATAACCACCATGACCAGGATAACCACCGCCATATATACCCACCACTTCCTGGGTAACCTCCATAAACGTATTTGGCATCATCTACCTCTCCATGTTTCATTGTCTCTACCTCAGGTACCTTAGCTGCATATAATAAATATAAATTGAAGAAACACTTACATGGTTAGAACAAATACTGTAAAAGTTTTTTCATAGTGGACTTTTCCTTGAATATAAACTAAATCTTTGGAAAAGCGACATGTTTTATGAAGCCATACCATGTTATTGCACGTAGCAAAATAAGTGGACATGGCAAAAAGCTGTGTATAGTGCTGTAACAACATATTATATATATATATATATATATATAGTCTAGAGGAAGAAAAATATAAATCTTGACTATGAACATTAAAAGTGAATATACAATGTATTTACTTGAAATTTATTAAGTGATTTTGGCATCGTATGAGGTAAGGATCATCAAAACAGCTTTTTTTTTTTAAAAAAAAAAAAGTGATTATGGGAGTTTGCCAAAAAAGTACCCTCAAACTCACCATGATTAGAGGAAGACTCAGACAAGTCCCTAGCTGTTACCTTCGAGGTGATAAGGAGTGAAACAGCAAAGAAAGCAAGAAGAAGAAAGGGCAATTTGGAAGCCATTTGATGAGTTGCTTACGAAGAAGGGAGGTGTACTGTGATGGTTGATAACCATTCGTGTGCTCTATATATATACACAGTCCCTCGGGAAAAAGAGCTATATGAATTAAGGGCCTGCATGTAGTTGGGAGTTAGGTTTTTCATTAATTATAAACCTTATCTAAGCTATACGCTATAAAATTCCAACTTGATTTTCATCTGGCTTTTTATTTTTTGTTCTTATTCTGGTTGACAATGTTGAAAATATTAATGGCCCACGAAATTCAAACAGAATTTATATTTGCATGAAATGGCTCGATTGATCAAAAGTGGTTAATTTGTTCATTTGAATTTGAAGGCATTTGATAATAAAATAGCATATGATATGGACGACATCAATCGAATAAGGGAGAATTTGTTACAGGACTATACTTGAGTCAATGAATTAATTTAGGAAAATAAATGGTTGATCAAAGATATGTTGGAATATATTGATGATATGATCGGTTTCTTTAACTCAGAATGTTTACAATTACATAGCATAGTTATTTAATTGTTGGATTAGGTTTAGGTTATGTTAATTTCTTTAACTTATGTTTACAAATTACTTCTCCGGTTCTAAATATAAAATTTTTTTTGTAATTTAAATTATACTACAAAATGAATTTTATATTTAGTACTAGAGAAGTACATTGTTATTGATTTTGAAATGAAATTGCATGTTTTTATTAGTTTACTCTATCATCTATCGCTGGTTGCTGGTTTCTAGATTCTGATTGTATTGATTATTTGAAGGGAGGATGTCTATAAAGTAGAAGATATTTTTTTTTAAAAAAAAAAAGGGTTAAACTTACTACCTTGTTGATTGGCAAGCAACGCAGTAAAATGCTTTTTACACCTCGGCTACTAAGAAAACTGATGTCAAAAGTTGAACTTCCCACATCGTTTTGATGAGATAAATGATGTGGGAAGTTTACTTTCCAAGTCCATTACACTAAATAACCGATATGGAAAGTACTTTATTATGTCGTTTACTTAAGCAAAAGAAATGGTTAGATAAACTATGTCAACGGCATCTATAACCCTTATATTCATAGCGAAATTCAAATTCATAACCTTATAAGTCATAAACTCAACTGGACAAAATCTATTATTATCCTCACACATACTTTTACTTTGCATGTAAAAATACTCACAAGTATGATACACACACACATATAATAGATCATTATGTTGTTAATTAAATAATTTATATTAATTATTTGCCTCATATGCTTTGTATTTTTCTTAAAAAAAATATTATATGCCCAACTGCACAAAGGACTTCCATGAGAACAAAGTAAAATTAATCAATTAGGACGGATTCTCATACATAAACGTAAAAATAAATACCCACACTCATAGCAGTTTGACTTTGACACATAACTCTGCCCCATAAATTCAAAGAAAGCAAAAGTTAGGCACCATAATCAAACCCTAATTTTCCTTTCACTTCATTTCTAATTTATGTACCTTACTGCATAATAGTGCTTTCATTCTACCAACTCCTATGTCCATCATAGTCTTAAGTCTATCTACCCACTCCTAATATATAGAGACGGCGTCTCTATAATCGTAGGGCGAGCCCAAATTCTTATATTGCATGCCATCCCCATAAACTTTTGATATGAATAAATCCCTATAAACTTTTCATCCTTCTCTTTTTCTCTGGGATGAATATAAAAATTTGTGATCTAATTATAGCATAATGATCTATTATTTTTAAAATGGGTTAAGATATAGATTTTTTTTCGAAAGTTTTTATTTAAGCACTCTGATCATCTAGAATTTTTGTTGATAAAGTTGAAAAAAATTAATTTAAAATAGATTTAATAAGTCAACTATCATTTTTTTGATGCTAACGAATTAATTTCAAAAAGAGTTAAGTCGTAGATTTATCATTATTGATTTATTATTTTTAGACATATACACAAACATCCACATTGTCCTTGTAATTAATGTTTATTAAATTATAAAAAAATAAATAATCAACTCTCAGAATCTTCTCATATTCAATGGCACGTATTTATACAGACCCGGATTATTTAGAATGATAATATTCTAACTTATCACGTTTTTAAAAATAATAAAACAGAATATCTTAACGATTCATTTTATTAAAATTACTTTAAAAATAATAGAAATAAACATTAACTAAAATAGGATAAAATAAAAAATTAATTGTCCAAATATTACTCCGAGCTTTTTTAACAGAAAAACAAGTAAATATTTTTTTGGTGGAAAAAATATTACTTCACCTAGCTTGCTGCATTTGAAACTCAACTAAACTGACCAACAAAAATTAGTCTAATTTGTAAAGAGCCATCAGTTTATAACTCATGGCATCATTAGTAAATAATTTGTAAACACTCCTGGAGATATACCGTGGTTTTATAACCAAGCTCATCTAAATTTTTATACCACAAGGGAATTCAACTGAACTATTGAAGACACCAAGAGAAACTATGGGATCCAACTACAGAGAATGGCTCGATCCAGGTTTAAAATTGTGAAGTTTAGGCCCATTTTCTCAACCCCAAAGTTGTCAGTTCGGCCCATATTTGATACACATCGCCCCTAGATGTTTCGAGTCTCCCCTCCCCATCTCGTTCTCCATCTTCTTGTCGCCGTTGACTGGGTTTCCACAAAGGCAAGGTTGGCATGCTTACCCTCTTATCTCTCTTCTCTCTCAGTTTCTCATTCTAATTTTCTCCTTCATCTGTGTGTTTTTTTCCTATATTTCTCACGATTTCTTAGCATTGTTTTTTCTTTCTTTTTCGTGAATGGTTCAAACTTTGATCAAACTATTTTGAAATTTGATCCATATTTGTTTGGACTTGGATTCTCTCAACTACGCTTCCAATCCTCCTTCCCTCCACTGCCCTCCTTTTCCCTTCACAACTGGATCAAAACTCCAATGGTCCATATTTAATATTTTATAACATTTTATAAAAAAAAGTATTATTATAAAAATAGATAAATAAATTTAAACTGATAAAATCTAATCTAAACAGCTCATGGCTACAGACTATTATTATAGAACAAATTTTTTCAATTTTTTTTATTACAGTTGTGAACTGTACGGATCATATTTTAACAGTTTAAATTTATTTATTTATTTATTTTAATAATATTATTTTTATAAGATGTTGAATCTGAACCAGTGGAATTTAGATTTGTTTGATCTAATGGTTGTGAAGAGAAAAAGAGAGTAGAGGAGGAAAAGAGGATGGGAAGGGTTGTGGAGAGAATTCAAATCCTATTCGTTTTATTCTTCCATTTTTGTTGATATGAAGCCCGGTACTATGAGGAAGTTGTTGCTGGTTGCATAAGCCCTCATACAAAATGTGCATCGGCCAAGAGCTTGATGGTTGCAGGAATCCGCAACATGTTTGGTTTGAAGGGTTACCTTGTTTGTTTGGTTCCCTTAGGGCTGAGAGAGAGAGAGAGGTAGTAATAATCAAATTACCATTTTATCTTTATTTATTATTATTCTTCTTCTGATACTTAATAATCTAATTGAAAAGTTGATATTGGTACTATATATAAGACATATTTCACATGTTTATCAATTTTTTTAAAATTAACTATGTTAACATTCCTCTAACAATAATTAAGTAGGGGAAAAAGAGAAAGGAAATTAATAAAGATATTTAAGGTGTTTTAGAAAAACATATTATATTAACTAATTTAAATAACATAATTAATACACTCAAATTAGTTAATTATGTCAAGAGGAATAGTTTACATTTTTATTTAGATATTAATTTACATCTTAAATAAAATTACATACTTTAATAAAAATTCAATCTTGTTATATCAATATGTATATTAAAAAATTGGCACATCAATTTTTTATTCTAATTAATATAATAATATATTTTAAGCAATCTAATTAACAAATTTTTTTTTGTAAAAACCAAATCTTCATTCTCTTTTAGGCTATGGTTCATTTACCAACTTTAATATATATTTTAGTTAATAAAATAATATATTTGTAAAACATAATTAATTTTAGAATATATATTTTTATTTTTTAACAAAAAATATGAGGGCAAAATTGGTTTTCCCTCTCCAAAATTTCTAACTAAATGAAGCGAAGGGAGCATTGGGATATCGTACTTTTTAGATTTGAAATGTATTTCTTATCTTTATTTTAGTATTGGTTATCATCGGATTTTAAAAAAAAAATTGGGTAAAGGAAAGGAGCTAAGCCCATACAACACTGCTACTTTCTAATCCTACAAGTGACGCAATGACCCAGTCTATCTTGTTCCAAAATGTTCGGAACTTTAGTTGGCGGAGTTATTCAAGTCCTTTTAATGCTCGAAAGCTTTTGACTAAGCTCAGCCAATTTATCAGTACAGCGATTTCCTTCTCTGAAAATATGTCTCCACCTAATGTTCTAGTCTTTCTTCATCATCTCACTCATCAACAATTGGAGGTGCTTATAACCTTCTATTATGAAATTATTTTGAAACACCTTACTCACAATAGTAGCATCACTTCCACTTCAATCTGTCTAAATCAAAGGTCCTAGCACATTTGCAGTCTTTCAATGATGCTATATACCTTAGCTTCTGTTGAGTCGCAATTGTTTAGTTGATGGGAGAAGCCCCGTATCCACTCACCACGGTCTTCGCTTATCACTCCTCCACATGCAGCTCCCCTACCGTGTTTGCTCATTTCATCTGTGTTCAATTTACATTGGTTCTCTAGAGGTGCTTTCCAAGAGATCATTACTTCTTCTATGGTGCCTACTACTATTCCTTCAACCCATTGATGGTGATAAGTTTCCAGATACTCAGAGATTCTCTTACTCGCATCAAGGGGCATTTCAAAATCTGGATTATGCACTTGTTGGTTTCTTTAGTACCACATATGCCAACATGTAACTACAAACTTCTCAACCCAGAAACCCTCTTCTTTTTGTGAGTTTTGAGCACCAAGTTGCTAGTCATCCATGTAGCCCAATCCATACTGAAGAATTCTATTCTCCTCTTCCATGGTAGTATTTGTCGCTAGATCATTGTCGCGTAGGGGTAATCTCTCATTATATGGATTAAGGATTCAGTTGCCCTATTACATATTCTACATGTTCCTTCACTTCCATCCCACTTCCTGGTAACTTCCCTACTAGCTAATCTCTTATGTTTTGCAAGCCGTATAAACATTCTTACCCTCTCTGCAACTTTAAACTTCTAGATTTTCTTCCACTCTTCTCCTCCTTGCACTTCTTTTACTCGATTCAGGTACCTATATGCTGATGTTGTTGTGAAGGGCCTGTATCTGCTCAGTTCCATCGAATTTGTTCCACCCCATTACTTTCTTGCTCTCCAATCTCTTGTTTACAGTCGACTTTCACATTATATTTATCCCACACCCTTGCTAACTCCTTCCATAACCTTGAATCATTGCTTTTAAAGATCATTTTATCTTCTTCCTATTCTGATTTGCCGCATTTTCCTTTCAATACTTACACCCAGAGATCACTTGGTTGACTTTGACATCTCCATATCAATTTGAATAAGAAGGCTTCATTCATGTTTTTTAAAGCTTTGATTCCCAATCCACTATTTTCCTTGGATTTGCACATTTTGACCAAGCAATTGCATGCCGTTTACTCCTCTCCTCATTATCTCCTAATATAAACCTCTTCTGTTCACGTTCTAATTCGTCAGTAATACCTTTTGGCAGACTATCATGTTATATGGGGTATATGGTCATAACACTAGTGACCGATTTCACCAATGTTACTCTTCCTACGAAGGATAGACCTGAAGCTTCCCAACCCTTGAGTTTTTGTCTGACCCTATCCACTGTAGCTTTATATTTCTATCTTCTTCGTTTGGGAAATGAGATATTTGCTCCTAGATATTTGCCTAGCTCCTCTACTTGTTTAAAATAGCTTTTGTTACGTATTTCTCTCCTCAGTTGATTATTGATATTTGGGAAAAAAAAAAGTCTTCTTACTACTAACTTTATGCCCGGACATGTTACTAAAGTCCTGTAAACACTTAAGGATAACATCAATCTAATTAGCAGCCACCTTTACAAAAAGAACAAGATCGTCAAGAAACATCATATGTGATGTTAGTGGGCCTCTTCAACCTGCTCTCATTCCTTGCTATTATTTCTCTCTTTCTCTATCTTGAATCATGTGTGTAAGTTTTTCCATTCCGAGAACAAAGAGATACGAGGAGATAGGGTTGCCTTGGCAAAGCTCTTTAGTAGTTTAGAACCTTTCTGGTTTATTGCCATGCCACAGGATGTTGGTTTCAGTTGTATCAATACTTTTCAAAATTCTTTCTACTGTCTCAGAAGGGCATTGAGGTTCTTTAAGTATGTTTTCAACATACTTCCAACTAATTCTATCATACACTTTCTCTAAATCTACTTTGATTGCCATAAACCCTTTTATGTCTTTTTTCCTCCTCATGGGATGCAACATTTCATTAACAATAATAATATTATCAAGAATATTTTTACTGAGAACAAAGCTCACTTGATAGGGGGAGACTATTTTTGCCATAATAGTCTTAAGCCTCTTGAGTATGATCTTGGCCATACTCATATAGATCACCTTGCACAAAGATATAAGTCTCAATTGGTTCACATTCTCCTGCCTTTCCACCTTTGGAATTAAAGTGTTAAGAGTCTAATTTACTTCTTTAATTTTGTCTAGTTCAATCCACATTATCCTCACAATACTGCAAACGTTACTTCTAACAATCTCCTAGCATCGTTGAAAGAAAATTGCTTGGAGCCCATCATGCCCCGAACCTTCTAGTTTACGAATAGAGAACATAGCTTCCTTGATTTCTTCAATAGATAAGTCAGCGCATATGTAACTCCATTCAACTCTAGTAACTTTAGGCCAACTATGCTTTGTAGTCGCCTTCACTTTGGGGCTCCTCAACATTAGACTATGATTTACCCTAATATGCATTCTGTCGTTTTGTCTCACAACCATGTCTTCCTCATACTTCTTTATCTGCTTTTCGAAAACTTCAATGATCACTGTCTTGATCTGTGCTAGGAATGTCTCGTTGTTACCAGACATGAGTTGCTTTTGTGATTGCTCAGACATATAGGAAACATGATTGCCAGTAATTTTGTTTCTTTGTGGTCTATCCATCCTCCCCATCTAAAGGATGAAACCCACTAAAAGGTTAGAACGTCAACTAGAAGAGGTCTAATAGAAAAGAGGAGTGAGCAGGGAATGTCATGTCTGTTTACAGTTATTGCCACCATTCTAAATGCAATGCAAAACACTTTAAAATCACAAAATCGCATGCTCTGATACCAAAATGAAACATCCATATTCTAAAAACACAACACTTAGCTTAGCACTAACTATATTCATTATTACTATGGTAATAAAAGAGTGAAACAAAAATTTTCCTTTAAATCAAGATAACCATGATAGAAAAAGGAAACAACCTACATATAGTGACTATCGTGGTTATAAAGGAAAGCGAGTATCAATAATTGAAATTGAATCATATAATCTCAAAGAGGGAAGATATTGCCATTCTGTCTATTACCTGTTACGTGCTTAACCATGCTAGAAAAGGATGCTGTTTAGCTAACATGGTTATAAAAATACACTCGTTCGTAGTATGTCACAACCAATACAAATATATATTAAACAAAAAAAAAGGCCTCAGGCCATAACCTCAATTGGATCTACTTATTAGAAACCACACTCAAGTCTTGCAAACTTGCTATCAAAATGACATACAATCCTACGGCCTCCGGCCTATTAACCAACAATTGTTCCAACTCAAAGGTCATAAATGAAAACAAGGAGTGTAATATTACCGAAACCAATAATAAAACAAAATGAGTGAAAAGTGTCCTAGGTGACAAATAACATAAAACTTGAACATAACTACTAATGAAGGATGACTACTCGTAGAAGTAGTCTCACACCACCTATGAGGTGCCAAGTGGGACTAATAGTCTTAAAACAATGAGAAAACACAACGTCAAATAGTAGCAATATACATGTTAAGAGAAATAGCGACATAGGATTTCCTTAATCAAGTAGTTACACAATTTATGCTATTTTCCATTAATCAAATAATATTTGTTCCTCCTTATCTCCTCCTTATTCCCGTCGACTAAACCCATGGCTAGGTCTATAGTGCACACATGGGACCATAGGTTCCTTCAGTAAGGCATGCTGCCCTCGGGGATGCTGCCCAAGTATAAACCATTGGAGTGCTGCAAGCTAAGGGGATATTACCCTGGCATTAGAAGGGACCAGCCATAAAGTGCCATATGGCGGTCACGCCACGTGGTCACAAAAATATAACTCCTATCTCAAACCTCCTCCCAAAATATTAATTAATATAACTCATTAACTATTTATATTGTTTGCAACCAATCACAAACCTTATCACGCGTTTACTCACATTATACCAATTACATAGCATGGATTCCAACAATGCATATAAGCAATATATAAACTATCTTTCTAATCATACTGTTATGCAACAATTTCTATTATAAAGTTTCCTTCAAGTAACAAATAGTCCCTTGAGACAATTTAGTAAACTAGTTGTTTGATATATTAGAAACAAATTAAAGATAATATTGTCAGATTCTCAAAACTCATAAATCACACTAACAAGTGAGGCAGGTAAAAAGAGAGTTACCTAGCAATCACTCTCAAAAAAACAAACCTAGGCTTCAGAACTGGAGGAGTCCCGCTAGTAATTGAATCTACGAATAACTATGTCTTATGCTCTATCATAGTCTAAAATGCTAATCCTAAATTTTGAGTCCTAAAGTCACCAGTTTGGCTATTCGTTTTTATCTCAGAACCTATGGCTTTTTGAGAGGAAAATTCTTATGAACTCAATAAATTAAGTTTACTGAATTCTTATGCTAAAGTTCAATTGCAATTTTATATGCTCGTAATAAATAAAAAGGTTGAAAACGTGTTCTACCCAAAAACCCAATATTTAATATATATATATATTCATATGATTATTTATATATTTATTCCTAAAAATAAAAATAAATAGGATAATATGATATATATATATACACACACACACACAGCTGTGCGCGCGCACGCGCCTCTGTGTGTTTAATTGTTGTGGGAACATGTGTACGGAAGCCGAAAGGTTGCTAGGCAATATTATGTGTGTGTAGACATGTGTATATGCATGCACGCATGTGTGTGTGTGTGTGTATAAAGGTACTTCACACATTACATGGATGGGGAAAAGGACAAGACGTGTTAGAGTTAATTACATATAAGAAAAATTATAACTAGAGGAAAAGAGAATAAGTATGGGTATGTGAGTGTCTTGTGTCAGGTGTATAGTTAAGGAAAATGGATGAAAAAGATCAAGAGGAAAAAGTAGAGAGAAAATAAGAAGGAGGCAATTGCAAAAAAGTAACAAGCAAAGCAAGAAGAGGTACTTGGTGACCGCAGCCAAGGGAGAAGTAATGGGCGAGCAAAATAAATTGGGTGTTAGGTTTAGTTGCTTATATACATTTTTTTTAGGCTAATAAAATTTAAACTAGCTTATTCTATATTGGTATTTTTTTAATAAAGGAGAGAAAATATTCTTTAATATAAACAATATATCAGATTTTAGAAAAATAGGATGTATTTCAAAATCAATCTGATTTTCTTAAATAGTATATGTACTCACATATATATACTATATATACATGTCCCTAAATTTATAGTTTATTATTATTTTATTTTATTTTATTTACTTTCAAACTTATGTCTATAATCTTTTAGTATTATCTTACGTTAGAAAATATATATAGCTATATTTAATTATTTATGAATATCACTTTTTACTCAATTTACTTTTAAAGTATGTATATATATATGTACACAATTTATTTAATAATTTAATTTATAATAAGTCTTAAATTGTCCGTACTTAAATTCTCTTATTCAACCTTTATAGTATTCCTTTGTGTATAAAATCAAATCTTATGACCTAATGGGTACTAGCGACACTCCAAGTCTGATAAGAAAATAGGGATTTTATAGATTGCATGCTTGGCTATATCTCCACTACATCTTGTTTCTACCAGCACAACAATTTTGGGTTTGAATCTCTGCTTTAATTCTTTAACAACATTACCGAAAGCTTTTTCGGCTACCCCTCTAGCATTCCACACTAATATCATGAAAACATATGAAAGGTAAGGAGAACCCAAGTAATTCTAGTTCATGCACCTTCATCATTGGGTAAACCTAATGGATGTAACTCCCAATATGTCGTCTTTCTCCTGACTTCCAACATCTTGTGCTTGTGCAGATTGGTTCATTGTTCCAATGGGACTCCTTCGATCGGGTGGTTTTGTAATATCAACCTCCATCATTTCTTCCACTTTTTTTGGGAGAGTTTCCAAGGAAGTTGTCAACTATTTGGTCTTCCAAGCCTTGCCTCTCGGAGCCCTGGTGCATTACTCTACAACTATCTGGTGGCCCTAGATTGCATCTATATTGTGTTCAATCTCTATTTCCTAACCTCCTTTTAGCCCACTTTGTAACTGCCCATTTGCTCTTTCTTTACTATTTTGTTTTCTGCCTATTCCATTATTCAGCCCAAAAGATTCACTTCCCCTTCTCTCTTTCCTACTAGCCTCCACTTCTTCCTTTCCACTTATTATCACCATGTGTCCCTCTTCTTGCTTCCCATCCTTACCCCTACTTATCTCTGCTACTAACTCTCCTTTCTCCACTTTCTTCTTTTACCTTCTCACCTCTTCTGATACCCATTTTTTATGATTAGTCTCCCCCTTTTTGCTCTCCCTTTTCTCTAAAATATTGTCAATAATCTGAAGGGTTTCCTGTATGTTGCTTCTACCATATTTTCTTTCTCGACCAGCTCCTCATCCATTAGGATAGTAAATCTTGATGTACTTTCCAAAGCCTTACTCCCTTTGACTACCTTCCTCTATACCTCCCTAGAGTTTCCACTTTTCTAAATATTGTGGTGTCCTTTCCTTGAATCTTGCACCACCATCCAATCACCATAAATCCTAAGGGCCCCTTGTACTGTTGCCTTTCCATGATCTCTAACCACCAGAGAACTTGTAGATTTTTCTCCATTGACATCTTCTTGTCTCTTTAGAGGGCATCTTTTGGTGGCATGTCCAAACTTGCCACAATAGAAACAAATCATATGTTGCCCCTCATATTCTATTTTCAAGTTATTCCATCCACAGTGTAAGTAGGGAGGAGTGGTGCATTCATATCTATTTCCACACACATTCTTGCATACATTGTTCTAGCTCTTGTGCAAGTCATTTCATTGACTTAAATGGTTGTACCAATCTTGTTACCCAAGTTTTAAAATTTTTTTTTATCATAGTAGTCCCCTGGGAGTCCAAGCAGTCTCACCTAAATCGCCAGCTTGTTAATCTTTTCACACCAAGGATTGAACTTCCTTTTCCAAGTTTGAGTAGTAAGACTAACCAAGGACCTCCATCCAACACAAAGCTATAATCATCTAACATTTGGAAAGTAGCATGCATAGAGTCATTACTGATATGAAGATCTTGACCTTACCTATTTTCCCCCAGAGCAATTGTACCTTCCTTCTAAGTTGCATAAATCCCATTTCCCCTCCTAGCAGCTTAATGATAAGGGTTTGCTACCACTTCTTTTCCAGATGTCTCCTTTCTTCTTTAGAAAACTCAATGATGGGTCCTCTTTCTGAATCCACAATGAAGCTTCCTTTCATTAGCTCTTCAATGATACTAGTGGTAAGATTACCATCCTGGCATCCTAGACCTCTTTGAAATTTTGATTTGCTTCTTGCTCCTTTTCCATGTTTGATTTCGACTTCAGTGCTTCCCTGTACAATATCATGGCATTTCTAGTTGGTAGAATTTCCAATTCATCTTCTATCATCCACTCTTCTTCTCTAGCTCGAAGTGAAATATCCCCCATAAATCTTCATTCCGTTCTCTTGACCTTTCCTCTTAGATCTACTTCTTTTTGCTTGCTCCCAACCTTCGAATAGTGAGCTTCCTCACCAATGCTTCCTCTATTCCTCGTTACGTCAGTAATTATCAGTGGTTGCTTCATTCCTTCTTAAGCTCTTTTCTTTACAACTAATAGCTGATCTAAAGGGTGCTTTTGGGAAGAGTTACCGGTGACTTGCATGGAAAAACTCAGAACCTCTCTCTCTTCTTTCTCTTCTTAGTGAGCTGAAAATTTGTGATCAAGAACTTAGAAATTCTTTTCTTCTTCTTTTTTTTTTTCAATTAAGCATAAGCATTTTTTATTAAAGGTAATTCTATTCGAGACACTACTAGACACTAAATATAGATAGGAACCTCTCCTAAAGGCAATTCAAACTTTTGTTTGCCATATTGCTAGCAGCTTAGCCCCTTTCTCTATACCAAATCCCAATTGGTTAGAAATTCATATTAGTTCCAAAATAATTTTCAAAAACAAGTCCTAAGTCCTAGTGTCATATTTTTTGCTACTCATAAGTATCCTCTTATTAGAGGTAATAGGAGGCATTTGAGACATCGTTGAACGATAAATATAGGCACCTTTTCCAAGGAGATTTTCTAGTTTCATACTATATCTGGTCCTTAATATAAAAGATAGATAACTAATTTGGAGAAATTAAAAGAATTAGTTAAAGTTGGTTATTTGTAATAAATATATATTAACTTTCTTAAATTACTCTCTTTAATTATTTGTATATTTAAAAGTTGAAATCATACTTTGGTGGTAGTCTTTCATAATCAATAAAGATATTTTGGGGAAAAAAAAAAGTAGAGTGGATTAAGATCCCATATTTAGGATCAAATTCAATTCTTCAACTAGGTTTTATATTAATAACTAAAAATAGTTTTTTTTTAACCACAAATATTCTCCTATTGAAAATAATAGGCAATATTCGTTAGGAAGAAAAGTCCAACTTCAATTTAGCCATTTTCTTGTCATATCTTGGTATTTTTCAGTTGGACCTTGCGACACTAGCCCAATAATAAGCTTAGCTCTGGAAGGCCATTGAAGCTACTGCTTAGTAGTGTGTTGTTCGCTGTTGACCTAAGTTGCTCTACCATGCATTGCACTCCAACCACTATCAATTTCTCCAATACTTGTCTTGTGTATTCTGTGGTTTTTGTTCTAGTGAAAGGTATGTAGGTGCAGGTTCATATTTCTCTTGTACTTTTGCACCTGATTACAATTAAAACTTTTATTGAAAGAGGGAGAAAATTTTTTTGTCCTGGAGATTTATTCTGTATTCTTTGATTACATTGCTAGGCTTATTTGAAACTATTTACGGGTTGAGCTAGAGATGAGGTTGCGTGCATCTTTAAAATGAAATGAACTTACATGATTTTCAAATTTCCCCCCGTTTTGGGAATTATGTTGCTCTCACTCTCCTCCCAACTCACGCCTTAAGATTTCAAAGCTATTTGTGTTGATTTGGATAGAGTCGAATTCTCTTGGAAACTGTGATTCTTTTCTCCCTTTATAAAATCTTTTGCTTGTTGGGTTTTAAGCTGGTGCCAAATTCATTGATGGAGCTTGCAAACTAACTATTAGCACAAGTCATTAGAAACGAAGGCCTATAATTAATTTTGTAGATATTTTCTGGTCACTTCCTTTACTGTACAGCTCAGCCCTAGGGTACTTTCTCATTATAAATAAAATGTATTGTTACTATTCATATTATCAATGAGAATGAATATTCATATACTCTTGTGTCCTTTTTGTTATTATGCTCTCTTGTTTCTAAAATGGCATTGGAGCTATAAACGTCGGTACCATGGCCAATCACACCAAAAGTCCAAGTCACTTTTCTTCTCCCACCTCTAATCCTATTCCTACCGTCTCTTCTTCCTCTTCCTTTTACCCTTCCAATGTATCTCAATTCCTCTCAGTCAAACTCAACCTCGAAAACTATCTTATCTGGAAAGCCTAGATGCTTCCTTATCTTTATGGGCAACGCTATTTTTGCTACGTTGATGGTTCTAATCCCTAGCCTCAAACCAAACTCTCTGATGGCTTTCCTAACCCTCCTTATATCAAATAGTTTGAACAAGATCAGTTGGTTTTGTCACTTCTCATTTCCTCTCTCTCTAAGAAACCCATTGGCCAAGTCATACAACACAAAACCTCCAAAGCCATATGGCTTGCACTAGAAGCACTCTCTTCTCGACAATCCCAAGCTAAATACCTTTATCTTTACCAACAACTCACCAATTTCAAGAAGGGAGGTGAATTTGTTACAGAATATTACAAGCGAGCCATTCATATTGCTAACTCTTTAGCTATCATAGGAAATCCCATTTTAGGTCTTGACTTTAACATCTATCTCCTTGGAGGTCTTGGCTTTGAGTTTGACTCAATGGTTACCTCACTAACTGCATAACGAGAAGTTCGAACACTAGAAGAAATATTGAGTCACCTTCTTCTCTATAAAGCTCGCCAATCTCAAAAACTTGTCTCTCAAATTGGTCAGCTTACTACCAATATTACAACAACCACAGGAGGCATTCTTCCCACACTTTCTTTTGGCAGAGGTCGTGGTGGTTGTAACTTCCTTTTCAAAGGACATGGTGGCCATTTTGGAAATAGATACAACTTTATTCATAGCAATTTTGGTCATGGTTTTATGGTTGGATGTACATTTAATCATGGAGGCTATACTATGTTATTTCAAAATGATCATACTGACTCCACTCCAACTTGCTAGCTGTGCTGTGCCCCAGGACATATAAGTGCCATGTGTACCCATATATATAACAATACTTTTCATGCACCTCCATCCTAAATCTTTTTTGCCAACTTTTCCACTTTTCCACCAACAGAAGATGATACTCTGTAGTACCCCAACACAGGGGCAACAAAACACATAACCTCTGATGTGTCTAACCTCAACCTTCATTCTAATCCTTAGTAAGGACATGATTCTATCTATGTGGGTGATGGAGCTCCTCTTTCTATTCAACATATAGGATCTAGACAAGTTAACTCTTCTATTGGTAAATATCTTTTCTCTCAACTTCTTCATGTTCCTCATATTACTAAAAATCTTTTGCATGTTTATTAGTTTTGTGTTGACAATAATGTGTTCTTTGAATTCCATGCTCATTGTTTCTTTGTGAAGGATGCCATCACCAAAGTGGTAGTTCTACAAGGTCCCAGTCACAATAAACTCTATCCATTTCATGGTCTCCATCCTCTACTGTATTTGACTTCCCTTACTACTTGTATTGGTGTTCGCACTTCTATCACCCAGTGGCATAATTGCTTAGGTCATCCTGCTCTTCGCACAGTTCAACGTGTTGTCTCATCTAATACTTTGCCTGTCTCAACTTTGTCATTGTCCACTTAATGTTTAGCTTGCCGTGTCTCCAAAAGCCATCATCTCCATACTGTTCAGAAACTCTACTTGATCTAATTTTTTGTGATGTATGGGGTCCTTCCTTTTTAGTTTCTATGGATGGTTTTAAGTACTATGTTAGCTTTGTTGATGATTTCTCCTGTTACACTTGGTTGTTCCCTCTACGTACTAAGAATGAAGTTCTACCTACTTTTGTTCATTGTCGCACTCTTGTTGAAAATCTCTTCAATCGTAAGATTTGCTCCTTTCAATTTGACTGGGGAGGAGAATTTCGATCTTTACACAAACCCCTTTCTTCTACTAGTATTCATTATCGCATCATGTGTCCACACACACAAACACACAAAATGGAGGCGTCGAATGACGGCATCATTCCATTGTTGACACTAGGCTCATTGTTTTGTCTCATGCTCATGTTCCACGTAACTATTGGTCTTTTGTTTTTTCCATTGCCACATATTTATTAAATCGTCTTCCTAGTCCTTCTCTTCATAATCTCAGTCCTTTCCAAAAATTATTTCATATGAAACCTAACTACACCTTCCTAAGTGTCTTTGGTTCTGCCTGTTGGCCCAACTTGAGGCCTTACACCAAAAATAAATTGGAACCCAGGTCCTCTTTCTGTGTTTTTATGGGATACAATACTAATCATCTTGGTTATTTATGCCTGGACATTAAGGAGGTGTTTGGATAGAAAACAAACCATGATTTTAGAAGTACTTTTACAATTTACGAAATAAATATGTGGAGGAATTTGTCTCGTTTTACAAAAAAGTGTTTCTGAAACCATAGTTTGGAGATTGCCAAATACCCTCTAAATCAGGATGCATGTATATCTCACGGGATGTCATTTTTGATGAAACCTAATTTCCCTTCTCTAACAAATCAACCACGCCCAATCCCACATTGTCTTCTTCCGCTATTTTACCGTTAATCTCCACTGGGCCTTTTCCTCCAAATATACCACACTCAAGCCCAAGTCACTCCCACCAAACTGCTCCAAGCCCACCCACACACCCCGTTACGCTAGACCCACCTGTCTCCCCCTCTCAATCATCGTCGTTCTCCCCACCGTCCCAAGCGCCGTCCCCTCATCCAGCGCCGTCCCCTGCACCATCCCCTGCCCCCGAACCACAGCTCTGAATGTTTGATTGCAGCAGGAAGAAATGACGATTTTCAGAAGTGCAGTCATATCATTAAATGGCTGTTTGTCGCACCAACTTCATCAGACTCATTTTGCCAGACGTCTCTCAATATGGTCGAAAATAGGTACTTAAAATTACTCCACATTCTTTGCTTTCTGCAGTGCTTTGTCTGTCAGCTTTTGGTCAGTATCCTTCTGGTTTACTTTGATTATGTCATGTCTGTTTACCATAAATTCTGGTTTTCACTAACTGAGCCATACGAATCTCTCCCTAGAATTGATTTTTTGATCTGGAGAGATCATAAGGTAGTCACCTCGTCTTCTAACAAGCCCATATCCTTTGCCCTTTCTAGCCAATGGTGTTCATAAAAACACATATGAAAAACGTGCACTACTTTCCTGCTTAATGCATCTGCAACCATATTTGCTTTTCCTAGATGGTACTTGAGTTCAAAGTCATAATCCTTCAAAAACTCCATCCACCTACACTACTTGTTGTTGAGCTCTTTTTGATCTACTAGGTATTCCAAACTCTTGTGATCACTGAATACTTTAAATTGGGAGCCGTAAAGGTAGTGCCTCTGGATTTTTAAAGCAAATAAAATTGTAGTTAACTCTAAATCATGAGTAGGGTAGTTCTCTTCATGTGGCCTCAACTCTCTCAAAGCATAGACTACTACCTTACCTTCTTGTATCAGCACACATCCCAAACTTTTTAATAATGCATCTATGTATAACGTGTACGGTAATTTAGGATTAGGCATAGTGAGTACGAGAGCAATGGTCAGTCTCATCTTTAGTTCTTGGAATATGGCCTCACATTTTTTAGGCCATACAAAATGAAACATCCATATTCCAAAAACACAACACTTAGCTTAACACTATCCATATTCATTATTACCAAGGTAATAAAAGGGTGAAACAAAAATTTTCCTTTAACTCTAGATAACCATGATAGAAAAAGAAAACAACCTGCATACAGTGACTATCATGGTTATAAAGGAAAGTGAGTATCAATAATTGAAATAGAATCATATAATTTCACATAAGAAAGATATTGCCATTCCGTCTATTACCTGTTACTTGCTTAACCATGTTAGAAAGGGATGCTGCCTAGCTAACATGGTTATAAAAATCCATGCGTTCCTGATATACGTAATATGTCACAACCAATATATATATATATATATATAAAGAGGGCCTCATGCCACAACTCCATTAGATCCACTTATTAGAAACCACACCCAAGTCTTGCGAACTTGCTATCAAAATAACATACAATCCTACAACCTTCGGCTTACTAACTAACAATTGTTCCAACTCAAAGGTCACAAATGAAAACAAGGAATGTAACGTTACCGAAACCAATAATAAAACAAAATGAGTGAAAAGTGTCCTAGGTGACAAATAACATAAAACTTGAACATAACTACTAATGAAGGATGACTACTCATAGAAGTAGTCTCACACCACCTATGAGGTGCCAGGTGGGACTAATAGTTTTAAAACAATAAGAAAACACAACGGCAAATAGTAGTAATATACATGTTAAGACAAACAGTGACATAGGATTTCCTTAATCAAGTAATTACTCAATTTATGCTATTTTCCATTAATTAAATAATATTTGTTCCTTCTTATCTCCTTATTCCCGCCGACTGAACCCATGGCCAAGTCTGTAGTGTACACAAGGGACCATAGGTTCCTTCAGTAGGGGATACTGCCTGAGTATAAACCACTGGAGTCCCGCAACTAAGGGGATATTGCCCTGCATTAGAAGGGACCAGCCATAGATTGCCATATGACGATCGCGCCACGTGGTCACAAAAATATAACTCCCATGTCAAACCTCCTCCCAAAATATTAAATAATATAACTCATTAATCGATTATATTGTTTGCAACAAATCACAAGCCTTATCACACGTTTACTCACATCATACCAATTACACAGCATGGATTCCAACAAGTAACAATTTCCAATCATACTGTTATGCAACAATTTCTATCATAAAGTTTCCTTCAAGTAACAAATAGTCCCACAAGACAATTTAGTAAACCAGTTGTTTGACATATTAGGGACAAATTAAAGATAATATTGTCGAATTCTCAAAACTCACAAATCACACTGACAAACGAGGCAGGTAAAAAGAGAGTTACCCAGCAATTACTCTCACAAAAACAAACTTAGGCTTTGGAACCGGAGGAGTCCCACCAGTAATTGAATCTAAAAATAACAAAAAATACATTATACTTTATCATAGATTAAAATGCTAATCCTAAATTTTGAGTCCTAAAGTCACCAGTTTGGCTATTCATTTTTACCTCAGAACCTATGGTTTTTTTAGAGGAAAATTCTTACGAACTCAATAAATTAATTTTACCAATTCTTAGGCTAAAGTTTAATTGCAATTTTATATGCTCGCAATAAATAAAAAGGTTGAAAATGTGTTCTATCCAAAAACCCAATATTAAGTATATGTATTCATATGATTATTTATATATTTATACCTGAAAATAAAAAATAAATAGAATAATATGATATATATATATATATAAGTGTGCGCGCGTATCTTTGCGTGTGTAATTGTTGTGGGAACGTGCGTACGAAGGCTGAAAGATTGCTGGGCAATATTTTGTGTGTGGACATGTGTATATGCACATATGCGCGTTCAATTCTACGTACTAAGAATAAAGTTCTATCTACTTTTGTTCATTGTCGCACTCTTGTTGAGAATCTCTTTAATAGTAAGATTCGCTCCTTTCAATCTGATTGGGGAGGAGAATTTCGATCTTTACACAAACTCCTTTCTTCCACTGGCATTCATTATCGCATCATGTGTTCACACACACAAAAAATGGCGCTGTCCAATGACGACACCATTCCATCGTTGACACTGGGCTCGTTGTTTTGTCTCATGCTCATGTTCCACGTAACTATTGGTCTTATGTTTTTTCCACTGCCACATATTTATTAAATTTTCTTCCTAGTCCTTCTCTTCATAATCCTAGTCCTTTCCAAAGCTTATTTCATATGAAACCGAAGTACACCTTCCTAAGGGTCTTCGGTTCTGCCTGCTGGCCCAACTTGAGGCCTTACACCAAAAATAAATTGGAACCCAGGTGCTCGCTTTGTGTGTTTGTGGGATACAGTACTAATCATCTTGGTTATTTATGCCTGGACATTAAAACAGGACCCGAGATGTCATTTTTTATGAAACCAGTTTCCCTTCTCAAACACATCAAACACGCCCAAGCCCACTTCATTCCCACCAAACTGCTCCAAGCCCACCCACACGCCCCCTTACGCTAGGCCCGCTTGTCTCTCCCTCTCCATCATCATCGATCGTCCTTAGGGATGGAAATAGGCCAGGCGGCCTGACAGGGGCCTGTGGCCTGGCCTGGCCTATTATAAAGAAGAAGCAGGCTCAGGCCTTTTTACAGGCCTGTTTATCTTATCAAGCCAGGCCCAGGCTGTTTTACAAGCCTGTTAAGCCTATCAGGCGGCCTGGGCCTGTTATTATTTTTAAGGGTATAATAGTAAATTTGTAATTTATCCTATGTGAGAGTTTAACCTAGCCGCCGCTGCTCTCTCTTTGTCTTTGCTAGCTCGCTTCTTTGCGTCACAGCTCCGATCGCAGTGTTTAACCTTGAATCACACTTTGCCTCTTTGCTTCATTGCTCTTTATCGCTTCTATCGACTATCCTGCCCTGCCTTTGCTCATTGAATCGCCATCTCCGAACTCCATTTGTCGCGACTCACCGTCTCTGAACTTCATTTATCATCGACTCGCTGTCTCCAACCACCGTTCTCAGATATTTTGAAGCATCGCGACTTGTTTTCATATGTGTGTGTGTAAGTGTGTAGTGTCGTGCCTCCCACTTCGCCCTTCAAGAATTTGATCTGTGTATTGAAGACTGGGAATCTGATTTTATTTGTTTTAATATTTGTTCCATTTTTTGCTATCAAGTCGATCTTTTCCTATTATCTTATGGCACATGGCTTGTCATATTGTAATAACTTTGATTTTGTTTTACTCATTTTGCCTATATGCAGTTTGCTTTCTCCCAATTCCTTCACATTCCTTCACGATTCGTCCTCCCCCCCGGTCCTGAGCGCCGTCCCCTGCACCATCCCCTGCCCCTGAACCATAGCTCTGAATATTTGATTGCAGCAGGAAGAAATGACGATTTTTAGAGTTGCAGTCAGATCATTAAATGGCTGTTTGTCGCACCAATTTCATCAGACTCATTTTGCCAGACGTCTCTCAATATGGTCGAACATAGGTACTTAAAATTACTCCACATTCTTTGCTTTCTGCAGTGCTTTGTCTGTTGGTCAGTATCCTTCTGGTTTACTTTAATTATGTTATGTCTATTTACCATAAATTCTGGTTCACTACAACAAAGGAATCTGTTTAGAGTGCCCTCTTCTTTCTTGACTCCTTATACACTGATTAGGAGCAAGCCTTCCTCTACTTCAACGAAGAATCAAGATCATACCCTTTAAGCAAGCCTCTCTGGAACTGAGATTTTTCGATGAATGTTTTTTTTCCCCTTTATCTTTCTAATATTTGTTCCTGAATCCTTTCGAATTTGTGGAATGTTTGAGCAGGCAATGGACCTAATGACCAGCAAAACAATAATTCTCATGAGTCTGTTGAGGAATTTAGGCGGCGAATATTTGGCGATACTCATAGTGGCAATTCCAAAACTGATGCCTTATTTGATAAGCTTGAACGAATGGGGAGGAGTCGTGATAGGTCAAGCTCTAGAACTGAGATGTTGAATGATCCGGATGAAGGTTTTGACACATTAACTGATGGAATGGATGGAAAACTTGAGGAGGCAGCTGAATACTTTGAATATGATATTGAGGAAGTAGATCAAGATGATTATTCTTTTCGCTATGACGCGAATTATAGGCGTGCTTCGACATATGATATTAAGATATGTATTGCTGCCTTAATTTACATTCACTCAAGCTTATAATTTCTTTTTGATCCCTCGTATTTGTTCTGTGCAATATATAATTTGTTTTTGGCCTGATTCGACATAGAGTTCACCTTATGTCCATGTGGCAACTTATTATTTATATTTTGCCTAGTC